ATCTTCAAAAGATTTATTTACTATAAAAATAAATATAGAAAAAATATAGTGGGTGGTATGTTTTTACTTATTACTATTGTTTTTTCAATTACATTGAATAAAAATAGAATCAAATTACAATTCATTAGGAAAAATAAATCTAATTGTTTGTAACCCCTTAAAAGTAAAGTTTCTTATTAATAATCTAAATATTTAAAGAAACCATGTGTGTGTGTTTATTTGTAATATTTTTAGTTTAGAATGATAAAATTTTGAATTAAAATGATTGTTTGATATAATATAAATATATTTTGATACTTCCTCCGTCCTGTTGAAAGGTTATCATTTTTTCATTTTCGTCCGTCCCAAAACAAGGTTACCATTTTTTAATTTAGTAATTATACTACCTACTTAATATAATAAATACCCTTTTAACTTACAATATATTACACAAACGTTATTACTTTTATATTACATCGTACTAATAGGGGTACTTTTGTCTTTTTTACTACAATCCAATATAATACTAATATTCCAAAATCTACGTGCAAAAAGCAAACACCACCCTTCCAACGGGACGGAGAGAGAATTATATTTTGAATATAAAAATAAATTTTAGCATAATATAATAAATAAACAAATAAATTTTTGATTATATAATTTTTTTTTCATAAAAATGTCAAATTAAACTTCTATTTTCAATTATTATATTATACTAAAATTTAATACTATCATATTTAAAATATTGTATCAATACATATTTCTATTATATTAAACAACTAGTGTTTCATTTCTCAATTTTACTATTAAAAACAAAACTAAAACCTCACACGCAAACATACTTTACATTTATAATTGACGATATGGTTGATGGTTACGATATATATATATATATATATGTATATTTTCGATGATAACAATAGAAATATTATACTTCTTTCGTCCCATAACAAAGTATTTATTTTTCTATTTTAGTCCGTCCCATAACAAAGTATCCATTTTTCTATTTTAGTCTGTCCATAACAAAGCATCAATTTCATTTTTTAGTAACTGTACTATCTACCTAACATTACAAATACCCTTACAACTTACAATATATTATACAAATGTCATTACCTTTATATCATACATAGTAATAAGGTTATTTTAGTCATTTCTACTTTATTCCTACCACATCTAAATATAATACTAATATTTCTAAAATTACGTGCAAAAAACAAATGAATATTTAGTTATGGAACAGAGGGAGTATTAATGTAAATCATGTGTTATATATACATGGACATGGATCAGCCGCTTATTCAGCCAAGTTAGTATATTGCTTATTTGACCTGATTAGCGTATGTTATAGAAATAACTAATATATATTTATATATATATATATATTTCAGCATATTTATAATAAACATATATTTCCTCCGTCTAATTTATATTGTTCTAAAGTATATTTGCATAATTTTTTAGCTAATTATCTTTTTATTTTGAATTGACAAATTTGTCCTTAATGATATAGTAGATATTAAAACTAGTAAATGAATGAAGGGTAAAAAAAGGAAGTAAAATTTGTGTTTTTTAAAAAAAAATAGGACAATAGTTGTTGAACATCCCAAATAGAAAAATAGAATATTAGTTTGTGAACGAATGAATATTATATTATAATTTAGCATATGTTATCTTATAACACAACATATGTTGAGATATTTATAAATATATATTAGTCATACATATAGCGTATGCTGACCCGTATAACACAATGCTGACTTGACCGGATTAATACAAGATTGACAGCCTATACATATATATAGGTTATCCAAGTTCAATAATGCCATATATTAACATACTACTTCATCCGTACCAGTAAAAGTTAATGTCTATGTTATGGTAAGCACGTGTCAAGAAAAATATAATTAGTAAAAAATTAAAAAAAATATTAGTAAAAAAAAATAATTGTATAATAAAAATAATAATACATTAAAATTAAAATAATTAAATAATTTAATTAAGATAAGTTACTCCCTCCGTCTCATAACAAATGATTCAATTTTTATTTTAGTCAGTACCATGACAAATGATAAATTAACGTAATTAACTTTACATATAACCTCGTATGAGGTACTTATTCAAAACTCATTTATTTCTTAATTCTCTTTAATAAACAAATATTTTTATTTACATTTAAAATTTTCATTCATTTATAAATTGGTTTATGTTAGTCATAAATAAATAAATAAATATATTTTTTTTATTTATTTGTATTAAATAAAATTTTATTTTATGCAATATGATATCCATATTCCATATATTTTTATTGAGATATAATTTTTAAAACATTTTAAAACACATTCTAAATTTTTTAATCATATATATTATTTCTTATTTTAAAATTACAAATAACACCTCTTACATAAAAATAATAAAATAATATTATAACTTGCTATTATTAAATAATTAAACATATCACCCTAAAAATTGTATCCTTAATAAAAAAAGATATCACTTAAAATGGGACATAAATTATAAAATTTAAAATGTGATAAATTTTATTATTATTATTAAAAAAAATATGCGAAAAAGATGAATAAAATAGACATTTTATATAAAATTAAAGTAATATATTTATATACTTCATCTGTCCCAAATATAGTGCAATATTTATTTCGACACAAGAATTTAGGTGAGTAGTATTAAAGTAGAATAATTTGGAAATTAAGTGATATTATGAGAGAAAAAAAAGTGTATTATTTGAATGGTGTGATTTTATGAGTGTGAGATAAAGATTAAATATATTTAATTATTTTTTTTAAAATGTCAGAGGATGTTTGGTACATATTTTATGTTATATTTTCCACTAACGAAGTACATATATTTTTATTTTAAATTGTACACGTAATCATTCTTTTAGTAATTGTGAACTATATTTTTTTTTCTACAAATATCTAAACTTTACTATCATATTCATATTATTACTTTTATATCAAAAAATAAAGATAAAATTATATTTACATTACTTTTAATTATTTATTGTAATTAAAATTATTATTATTTTTAAATTTACATAAAAAAAAATTATATAATTTTAAAATAGAATGAATATATATACTTTTAAAAGAGAATGGACATACATTTTTAAGCTCTAATATACTCCATCCGTCCATATATAAAATAAATACTCCATCCTAAACAAGGTGTAACATTTATTTTTGGCACGAGTTTTTAGGTGGGTAGTAGTAAGTAGGATAATTTAGAAATTAGGTGATGTGATGAAGAGATAAATATATATTTTATTTTTTTATTTGGATGATGTGAGAGAATAAAGTGTGTAAATATAATTAATTATTTTCTATTTTGGAAATGTGCAGGGTGTCTGGGACATACCAAAAAGGAAATATTGCAGGGTATTTGGGACGAAGAGAGTATTTATTTTTGACGGTGTTTAAAAAATAATACTCCATCCGTCCAAAAAATATAGTCTTATTGTGTTGGACACGATATTTAAGAAATATTGATATTATATTGGTAGTGGATAAAATGTAAGGATTGATGACTTTTTTGCCCTTGCGAATATATTAGTGTAAAAAGTAGTGACAATTGTATAATAATAATAAAAAAATAAGGATAATTTTATGGTAATATGGTTATTTATGAAAATGAAAACAGACAAAAGTGATAAACAAAACTATTGTATTGAGACAGAAAAAATAATATTTTAATTATAGTGAATAATTAAAATAATATACTGATATTTTTGTTTATATATTTTATATAAAAATAATGATGTAAAATAAAAATATCACTAAAAAAAAATATATACTTTTTTAAGAGCTGAGGAATATCATAGGTAGGCGGTGTGTACTAACAAATAAAACATGCACGTTGAAACTATGCCAATTTCTTTTTTTCATTTTTTTTTTTTCTTCTTTTCTAAACTTATGTCTTTTAGAAAAACACCACTAATTCCTCCTTGCCTTAAAAAAGAAAACCCAAAAGAATAAAATAAAATATTAAAGGTAATAAATCTTAATTAAATAAAGAAAAAAAGAATATCGTTTTCAAGAACAGTGGCGTTCTTGAGAGAGATATTGCAGTGCATAAAGCTAATGGCAATGATTAGCAAGCCAAATATCATCATCCCCTGTCCCTTTAATAACACTATGGTGTTAAATCTTTGTCCACATACAATTTTTCTTGGTTCAAACTCCAACCCTACACTTTCATCTGCCACGTAGTTTCTTCGTCTAATGTGATTTATTTGTCAAATTTAATTTATAGGGTATTATATTTGATCGGCGTTTACCGATGCTTATTTTTAAATAGTAAAATAATACTCCGTATGTTCTAATACAGTAGTCTTGTTTATCATTTTTGTTTATCATAGTCTTATTTTCATAAATAACCATATCACTATAAAATTATCTTTTACTTTTTCATTATTATTACACAACTCAACTATAGTTCTACGGATGGAGTACTACATTTGTTCATTTCTAAGAATTCTATTTATATTTTATAATTCGAAAAATATTTATACAAAAAAATATAAATATATTTTTAATATTAAATTCAATAAATAAAAAACTTCGTGCACTAATAATAATACTACTAATTGCCCCTCCCCAACGTCTTCTTCTTTCAAGAAACACACTACTCTCTCTACCATCACTCTCTCCTCTGAGAGGAGAAAGAAATGAAGAAACAGAATTGAGAGGGTCGAGGGCAGCTGCAGTGACGACTTGAGTTGATCAGTGGAAGTCTTTCTTTCTTAGTTATGGTCTGTTTTCAGAGCTCCTACTACTAGTGAATTCAATCAATGGACACATCGGAGGGGAGGCTGCTAAAGTAGTGATGTCTCGAATCAAGAATTTGGATCGCATCCAAAATCATGGCTTACATACTACTACTACTACTGGTGCAGTCTGAGGTTGAGGCTGATGACAAGGAGATGGAGATGGAGATGGAGATGGAGATGATGATGATGATGATGATAAGGTTAGCCTTTTGCCCTCAGTCCCTTCTCCTCTCCCATGTCGCCCAAGCTAAGGCAAGGCCTCTTTAGAATTGGGCATCCTCCACCAACATTAATCAACAACAATTCTCTCTTCTCTTATCCTCCTATTCCTAATAACAAAACCCTCCATTTTAATGGCGGGAGTGAGTTCGAGTTGAACTTGAACCATCCTCATCCTCCTACAGTACTGAGCCCTAGTGGAACAAGTGACGCCATGGCCTACTACCCTTATGCTGAGGATTTGGATTTTGGGCCATCACCCCAATATTCTTCTTCTTTTGAAGAAGAAGAAGAAGAAGGGGGAAAGCTTCTATGGAGGCCTTGTGTCTACTTTGAAAAGGGCTTTTGCAAGAATGGCACTTCTTGCAAGTTCTTGCACACTCATCATCTGCCCTCTCCAACAACTTCTGGATTATTTCATCACTTTTTCAGACTCAAACCTCTTCAAAACCATAATAACACTAATAGGTTTAGTCCTCTCATGGCTGCTCCTGGAGGTCACCACCACTCCTTCCACAATGACAATCCGAGGTCACAAAACGAAGACTTTTGTTTTCAAGACATTGTTATTACCTCTAATTGCAATCTTGATTTTGTCTGTCCAAATTTGTTTTGCAACATGGTGATCAATCCACATGATTTTCCAGCTCACGGCAGATATACTTGACATTTCCAGCCAACAGTAGCTTCAGGGAGGTCGATGTATCGAATTATTTTAGGTAGCCACTTGAACCTATTCCTACACTCAATTGCTCAACTTGCTGTCTATTGACTGACATTGCTTCTTGTAATGTTGCTTGAAGCTCGTATGGACCGGTGCAAGATGTGAGGATTCCGTATCAGCAGAAAAGGATGTTCGGCTTTATGACCTTCGCGTACTCGGAGACTGTTAAGCTCATCCTCGCAAAAGGGAATCCTCATTTCGTCCGCCATTCTCGCGTTCTTGTCAAGCCTTACAAGGAGAAAGGGAAATCCCTCAACAAGTAACACTTTGGCCTATCCATCTTCATCTTTGTCGAGGAATCTTCTCACTAATAACAACAAGTTGTCGTTGCAGGAAACAATCGACTTGTTTAAGCCCCTCGGTCGTCGAATCTAGAGAACATATTGATCTCCCCATTGGTAAACCTAAATGATGATTCTTACTTGCTTCATTGCATGTGAATACTTACGTATGTATGTATATATTAACCTGTAGGATCAAGGTTGCTGTATGATTCACAAGAGATGATCCTGAGGAAGAAACTGGAGGAGGCAGAGCTGCAGCATGCCATTGTCGAACTTCAAATCGAAAAATGGCGAATATGCAACTGATGGACCTGAAAACACAACACCCAAACAATCATTTCCTGCCGAGGTTGAGGACCGGCATTCCGGCTTCCTCTCCTAGACAGTCTCTATATCCGATGAATCAAAATTCTCTCACTACTTCCGATGTCTTTAATCAAGAAGGTATAGACGAACAGACAATTATATCTTGAAACAAGATTTACACCCCAGTTACCTGTTGTTGTTGTTGTTCCTTACTGCAGAGTTCGACCGTAACAGAGAAGGAGCTAAATCTCCTGTCCCCGTTGATCGGAAGTTGGTGTTGGAGGGAACTGAATCACTACGGCATGTAAATGGGGCTGGTTTTGATCATCTTCTACCTGAAAGGTATTGCACATCGATGAATTCTGTGGTTATCATCCAAGATTGTCACATCCTGATTGTACAATTGATCCTTTGGTCTTAGAACAGCTTGGAACACATACTTCCGGATAATCTATTTTCTACTCCTACGAAATTAGCCGGAGAATGCCGTTCTGCATTTACCCAATCTTTCAACAATGATACTGAAACTGTGACAAACCCATCCTCTAGCAATAGTAATAATCCGCTGCCCAGCAGTTCTCCACTCCAAGCAGCTTCGATAAGCTTATGTAACGACCAACTGCACAGGTATTATCCTGCTGTTAACTTATTAACACTTACTGTCTGATTTCCACCTCAGAAAGAAACATCAGATTTTGGAATTGTAATCTACTTCCAGGTTTTCTTCTGGGCCAGAAGCCATCGAAAACGATCATGTCAGGTTCAATAACACCTAACTAGCACGAACTAACATAGATAAGTAAGATTACTACTCTCTCATGACTATATAAACATGTACTTCAGCATTTAACCTTTTGATCTAAACTATGTAGATGCTTATACAAAGAAATTTAGTATATACAAGGAAGCCGAAAAGTCGTTTAGCTGTATAGCTGAAGAACAGAAGAAAAGGATGTGTAAGGAACACCTCATCAAGATTAAATTGTCATCATCAATACCAAACTAGCTATCAAATACAAGTGCATGGAGAAAGGATCTATAATTCCATTTTACAACAGTGGGTATCTCTTTTCACATTTTTTTACTGTCTCTTTAGTGGTGCAAGAACATAATAGAGCAATAGCATATAGCAAAGATCCTACTACTGTAAAATAAAAATCTACCTCTTAACCCTCACCATTAGTGTACTAACTGTATGTAACACTTGCAGTTGCATTTGATAGTGTAATATTTAATATCCCAAAATGCAAAAGCAGAGTGATCTTATTCTAACTTTCACTTTCCACTTGCATAGGATTCTGAATGGTGTGTATAAGACAGTAAATAATGGTTGCCTTATTTAGGATGTGATTTTCCAACCTCATTTAGGAGTGTTTGGGTCAGTTATCAGGAGGGCCTAGTTTCAAAGCAACAAGGATCATTCTTCTGAGTGTAACAAATCCTACCAACATGCTTCAGAATATGGTTTCTTGTGGGGGGTGGGTTCTGTTCTGTTATTATAGGTTGTTGTTTGAGGTGGGGGGTGGGGAGCAATAGGACAGAGGCTCACATGGGTGCTGAAGCCCCAGTTGAGTGAGTGGTATCCCAGAGTTGTACCACAATACACAGTCCTTTCATATTCTGGTCACAATTTCACGTGCTGATACTATTTGTGAGTGTGTGTTTGGATTTTAGCTTATACAGGTTATGCTGCTGACCTCTCCTCTTTTAACATGTTCCTCTTTTCTAATAGTAATCTCACCTTCATGTGCCTCATTCTAGGGTGGCATCAGATGTTATGACAATTTAGTAAAGATGGAGTTTAAAATAAGAATAAAATGATATTGTGGTGGTGGTGTGATTTTTGTTGTACCAATCCCTATCGACTACTGATGGTGGCATGGCATCATGGACAGAAACTTATAATAATGTAAAGGACTAAAAAAAATGAAAATAGTAGCAATATAAAAATGGAACACAAGAGGAAGATGTCGCTATCTAGATCTACTCTGAACATGTTCAGCCGTCACTTTTGATTTGTGTGTCTCTATTTTGGCATATTATTGTCTCTTTTGCATACAAAGTCAAGCACATGCATAATAAGGGGAAAGATAATCTGAAAACAAATGGCAATCAGGTGGCAATTGGCATCCTGCCTAATTTTTTTGGTAATTACTATTTCATTCTGCTTCTAACAGATTAATACTTTACAAGGTAGAGAAAACAGAATTACCTCTGCAGCTTAAACATGCTTGAGAACATCTTTGCTTATACATAAATTCCAAAACCTACTTCTTTAGGATCTGTTTCAACCATCCATGGAGCCCTATAAATATTCCAGAGTAATCAAGATTAAGAACCATAGAGTTGTTAAAAAGAACATTTAGCTTGCAGTATAAACCAAGACATACTTATTCATGATGAAATTAGTCGTCCCTTGCGCAGAGCGGCTGAGGAGAGCCTCCCTTGCCTCAATTGCGATGCCTTCGGGCTGCAAACCGGGAACAAACCAGGAGGTTAAATGGAGCACATTGAGTTGATTATTTTTTGTTAATAGGATATGGTACCTCTTCAGGAAACCAAACCCCAGGTTGTGTGCTTCCCTCCAGCATTGCCAGCACAAATGCTGCTGTTGCATTCCCTACTGATCTGAACAACATTGAGAATTCAATATGACAAATTGGAACGTGAATCATTCAGGAATGCAAATTCCAGGATTTATTGTGCTTTGATGAAGTTAAAACACAAGAGAAAACTGACTCAGATAGCTTTTTGTGGCTGAAAATCCCTATTCTAGTTCTTCCATCTGAACCATCCAAGTCGACCTGTTTTGAAATAAACAATGGGAGAAGCTTATTGCTTAGGAAGGCAATCTATTTCAGATTTGGAAATAACATTATGTTGTAAATAGAACAATGTGGGAATTAGTGGACAAACCCTCATGGAGACTTTCTCTCCAGCTATTCCATCGACGGCCCTGACTAAAGGATCAAATAATTCAACAAGCTGCTGAACTTTACCTCTATCCCTCAATGTTTCCTGGATCATTAACAGACAGACAGTCATGGCCTGGATCATGTGATCATTCAGAAAAAATTTTAAAATGCACCATATACAGTCCCATTCACATACAGGTGGAAGCAAATATGTCATGGCTACCATTCCCCAGTTCCAGAAGAATGGAGAAGTTCCAAAGCGTGCGCTAACAGTTGGGACCCCGAGAATTTCATGAACGCTTCTCACCTCCGGTAGGTTCCTGATTGCTAAGTTCTTTCAGAATGTGTTATGTAAGAAATGATTAACTTTCACTTAGGAATTAAAATCTCTTGAGAAACATGTGAACACTTACAAGAGGAAAACATCCTTCTTTCCAATCCCTTGTCCAAAATCAATGTTCAGCATTCCACTATAAGGCTTCAATTTGATTTTCTCTCCTGACAATTAACTAACATATAACCTCTAGAATCAACAATAAAAGGTTATGAACTCAAGAAAACATAGCCTACCAGGCAACCTTTATTATAAGCAACAACTTCTTCGCCCAGAAGTAAAAAGCTAGTCGATAATATTGTTGGTCCGGCACCACCAGAACCGGCAGTATAGTAGTAGAATCTATGCATAAGGTAGCATGTTGGCGCAAGAGGTAGTTAGCATTCAGACAAGCATTTTTAGTATTGTAAAAAGTAAAGAAAAGAACAATGAAGCAATAGCAATGCTTATTTTCCGGATACGGATAAATACATTGCTTTTGATTTTCCTTGTTTGAGTTAATCTTAAGCGATAAGCCGGATAGGCAATAATTATATGTTCCTCAATCATAAAAAGAACAATACCTCAGCCTCTTTGGTTCACCGTTATCTTCGCTGTTGGCAGCACGAACAAGTTCAGCTGCCATCACTGTGACAACAAAAAGGGATGCCTTAAAGTTGTTCTGGTAAGATTTGATGAAACTGTTGTTCATTAATCACAAGATAAGAACATGTAAACCTATCTATCCAGCAAAGACTATGCAGCATTTTCAACAACACAGATCATATAATAGCAGTTTTACAAGGATTATGCACCGTTGCTCACTCCTGGATAAATTCCCCCAGTTATTATTGCTGGAATATTCGCATCGATTGCTCTGTCCATGTAGGATTTCGAACGCCAGGCATAGCTTGTATCATCACAGACATCAAGATATGATGTCTGATCAATGAAGAAACCATCAAGATCCGATCATTCACATGTCCCGATAATAAGCCAAAAATTAATGGAAAATCAATCCATATGATCACACCCTATCTCCTCGATTACCTTTCTCTCACCTTGTTCTGAATTGCAGCTTCAAGCACAGCGCAGTTTTTAGCTTGCTGAAATGGGCCAGCAGTATGAACGACGAGATCCACATCTACACAAACAAATCAATTATCGAAAACCTAGTCGAATTCAAACACATAAACTTGATTATTTAATCCATGCCTCAGGATTCAGACATATTTAGAACAATTACAAACCCTTCAAAGCTACATCCAACGATTTGCTATCGTTGACATCAATTTCACAGAACTCAGCGTTGTTCCCCAATTTATTCACCATTGCCGCGCCTCTATCCCTGTCCGTTCACCCAAAATTAAAATTCACCATATCCAACCAGACACAAACTCACATCAAAATTAAAATCAAATCAATTCAACCCTAGAATGAACAATTGTTCGATCGACCACAAAATAACAACGAGATGAATCGCGTCAATACCTGTTCCGTCCGCCAACAACGATGCGAAGATCGGGACAGAATTTGGAAAGCGCAATGGCAGTAGAACCGCCCACTCTGCCAGTTCCCCCAATTATCAGAACCCTCGAAGTCCTCACCTTCTCCGGAAGCTCAACCCTCTCAATTTTACCTCTCCCCTTCCCTTCCTTCCCCATAGCCATCACAAAATTTCTGCGGACGCCCAAGCAATCCAGTTGCAGGCAGAATCCCGCCATTCTCCTCTCTCCTTCCCGCGCGAGCGTCCGGCATTCATCTTCCTCCTTTATTGTTATCCGTTTATCGTTACTGATGGCGTGGCAGCCGTTAGCCATCCGACGCGTGGCCAAACGTCAGAGAGACACGTCAGTGTCGGGCCCGACCAAATGATGGATCACTGAACTGATGGGCTTGGCTTGCAAAATATTTTTTCGGGCATTATTCACGTTGTACAGTATAGATAAATGGATAAAAGTGGAAAGTAAAATAAATGAAGTCAACGGTCAACAACATATACAAAATCAAATGACGAAACAAAGTGTGAAAAGTAGCTGACTTTAGGAGTCAATTCGCAATCACAACCTTGTTTTGGTGTGCCAACTATTACATATGGTATTTTCGTGTTACCAGTTAAATTATTCAATTGGAAGTTAGTTTCACTATAAAAATTAATAACATATATATAATGAAATGACATACGGTATAAAATATTATCTCTAATTTCGTTCTTAATATTATTACTAATAAAAATAAATAAATTTAAGAATGAAAATTATTTTGTTACAAAAATATTGTTTTTTCTATAGTAAAGTAATTTATTTAATTAATATTTAATTTATGATATACTCCCTCCTTTCCGTGACATATGACTATTTTTTCTTTTTTTGTCCGTTTAATTAAAGATGATCTTTTTTAATTTTAGTAAATCTATTCATTTTAAATATATTTAACAAATATAAATCAATTTAATTAAATTTTTAACCTCTTACACGGTCTACTCAAAAACTTCTTTATTTCTATATCTCTCATCGATAAATAAATATTTTTATCTATATTTAAAATATTTTCTTTTTAATAAAATTAGTTTTAAGTTAATTATAAATAAATTAATTAATATTTTATTTATTTGTATTATATAAAATTTTATTCTCTGCCAAATGAGATCCATATTGTATATATTTTTATTGATTTATAATGCTAAAAATATTTAAAATACCAACAACACTATTCATATAAAAATATAAAATAATATCGTAACTTATTATCAATAACTTACTAATTTACACTACCTAAAGTACCGAGTCTTTAAGTAAAGGGGTCATCTTGACCGGAACGGAGGGAGTAATATATTTATTATTAAAAAAATTAAAAATATGTATTTAATTATTTAAATAAATATAATTTAATAAAATATATAACAATATGAATATTATTTTACAGAAAATAAAATTTTATATATACAAATAAATAAAAAGTATAACTATTTATTTATGATTGACATAAATTAATTTACAAATAAATAAGAAGCTCTGAATATATATATATTTATTTATTAAGAAAAGACGAAAATAAAATATTTTGAATAGATTTTGAATAGCCTCTATGAAAATAATATTTTCAAAATAAAAATAGAAGCATGATGTCAACTTAGGCCAAAAAGTCAACCAAATTAATATTAATTTTTCTTTAAAAAAAAATATATAAAATATACTCATTTAATCCTGCTAAAATTATATTATTATTATTATTATTATTATTATTATTTTGTAATCTGTTAAATTTATCTTATTGTATAAGTAGTAAACAATTTATCTATTACAATTTCATTACATATATTTAATAACTAATAATAAATTAAACACTATTTTTTCAACTTATTACATCACCTTTTTATTAAATCATAAATTATATGTTACAAAATTTATGTAAGTCTAAATGCAATTTTGAGTTAAATTAAAAGTAATTATTCATAATTTATATTAAACTGAATATCACAATAAATTTTGAATGAATTTATACATACCATGAGAAAGAAGAAAAATTCTTAATTTTCTTATATTAATTTTTCTCATGTCTTCAACTTGCGGTCTATAAAACAGTTCTCAATCAATACACAAAATAAAATAATAAAAAAGCAAATACAAATAAGTGTTAAAGAGAAAAACAAACAAAGAATATTAAATAATTCTGAGTCTAAATTACATTAAAAATAATTAATCACAATTAATATTAAATTTAAAATTAAAATAATTTTATAATAAATTAATACTTATCAATGAGAAAGAGAAAAAAAAAATAATTTCTTGTTTCTTGTTTTTGTCATATTGTTAGCTTGTAGTTTTAGTAAAAAATATCGTTCAATATTAATAAATAAAGTAACTAAACAAAGGTAAACCAATAATATTGAATAATATGAATCATAAGTTAAGTCTCACAAAATTTATATTTCATTACGTTTTCGTTATTATGTTGAAAAAAAAAAAAATATATGATAAAATATATTGATACAGTATATAATGCATTATATAATTTTATTTAGAGTGATTTCATCACAATAAATAAGTTATATTGTACAATACAATTTATAATTCATACAACAAATATTAATATAATATATATCACATATTTTGAAATCATATTATATAATTTCATGCAGCACACTGTGATTTTGGCTCAATAAACAACTTATACAATATAGCATAATACATAATTCACACGGACCCATGATTTTATATAACACAAGAAATGCTATTGTCTTGTGATATAATATTAAGAACAGCCACACTAGTGTCCCGTAAGGGATGACATGGTGGTGTAGGGGTTAGATTTGTTAATTCTTGACTTCATTTATTTATTACTTTGATTTTGGAGAAGTTGATTCGATTTAGAATCAGATTTGGTCGGTTGGAAGCATCCATTCAATTTGGGCACTACCGAGTTGATTTCATCTCATATTTTTATAATTGAACAACTCAGGCTAAGTCAATTATTTATTCGGAAATATGTGCCCTAGAAATTCATAGTTGTTAAACACGTATTGAAATTTAATTTATTGACTTGCTATGGATTGAAATTGAACTCACATATTTATATATACACATGCGTTCAAGGTTAAGGACAAATTTTCAAGTTTGCAATATTATCGATGCATCCTACTCACAAACTATTTTTATTTTTCATTTTTTACCTTTTTCAAAATTAAATTGCAACAATTTAAATGACTTTAACATGCCCGTGTGCAAAAGAAGGTGTTTTAAAAAAATTCAGAAATGAAAATAATTTTGGTAGATTGTATCGTAAACGAGACTAATGTAACAAATGGTTTTGTTGGAAAAATGATGCAAATGAGAGAGTCTATAGTGTTTTTTATATGAAAAAAAAAAAAAAAAAAAACCTTCCTACAGTGATGAATCAAGTGCTACATCAAAGTATCTTCATAGGAATAACGATATCTGATTTTCATGTTTATGCTCTAAAGAAAAATATGAAAAGATAGAGAATTACATGTTGCACTACTTAACCATCTTGAATATTTTATTTCTACATTAATACTTATTTGTGTGTTTTCTTAAGGATGGGGAGGTCTAGATTTGTATGACAAGCTAATATCAAATTAGTGTAACTTGTGTAACGATAAGATGTAGTCTATATTGTAAAACCAATGTTATGGTGTGATATTTATTATTATATTTGTGTACCACTGGTGTTTAATTATTACGATGTGGACTTTTTTTTTTTTTTGTTTAGTAGTTTCTTTTGCAACCTTCTTTTAATTTTTTTTTTTTTTCTTGCTCTTCCCTTATATATGAAATGCAAAAGCAAGCTCGGGATCCAAAAGTTGTAGAGAATGGGAAGGAAATGGTGGTTGGATCAGAATGTTTATCGGAAGTTAGAAAATAATTGTATTACAATATGAATGTAGTAGCGAGTAGTTACAGTGCGTTTCAGTGTAATGTGTATTGTTTGTCATTGTGTGTTGTAGTGTAGAGAACAAGAGCAGAGCTACAACCTCAACTTTGTATACATGTCTATCTATCTACGAAGTTAAATCAGAATAAATATCCCTATATATAAATGTTATTTTTCTTTAATCATTGATCCTGCAATTTAATTACCATATATAAATCTCGTGTTGTTTATTTCATAAAAAATCCATTTGTACTGACTAACATTAAATCTTGGGTTGTTTATTTCGACAAAAATCCATCTGTATTGACTAACATTAAATCTTGTGTTGTTTATTTTGTTGTCAATTGTCTAAAAATATTTTAGCAATTGAAGCCACATTCATATTTCATTAATGTATTACAATCATGACATTACATGAGATGATTTGTAGAAGAAAAAATATCTTTAAAAATTAAGTTGTCCATTTCTTCACATGGATGACACTTTTACGAAGATGTGTGATTAGTTTAGTCCAAAATTTTGGTACACTGAAGTGTATAAAATGATTTTTACTTCCCTGCAATAATAATTACTCTGTCTTGTTGCTTCTTGTTTTGGCGACTTGATGACCAACTGGGCGACTTGTATCCCAATAGCTAAATTCATTTCATCACCTATATCTAAACATGTGTACCAATAAAGCACTTCATGGCAGGACTACACAAGATTATATATTTAAAGTAACATATGAATGACTGAATATGACAGTGCAACAAGAAAATACTGAACAAGTACTACTAGAAAGATTTAAAAAAAAGAACTATAAGGAACCCTAAACATGTGAGCAATAATCACATTGAAAAGAACTTTTGCAACACAGGAATGCTACATCACCTTATTAATAGGCACATGTAATATTAGTGTCTAGCTTCCAATGTTGTCTAATGTAGTAAATCATTGAAGTAGCTACCACATCGATACAAATTGGACATGAGACTTTGTAGTGGAGAAAAAGCACAAAAATACAAAGTAGTGAATGGTGTCTTTCTCTTATCGATAGGGATGGATAGGGAGGACGACGAAGAGTGAGCCTCGGATGCAGTTGAACAATGTTAGATAGATGATCGCATCGTTACTAATGAAAGAAGGAGAAGGGTGACGGATTTTGTTAGAACTTCAACAAGACTTTCTCGAATGGTTGCGAGCATCCTTACCGGATGTGTCCAACTTTGAATAGACAAATCTACCCATGCGAAAGAATTATATTTACCGCGATAGAGTGGGAAGACATCAGAATTTGTGGGCGGACTATTTATCATATACATTTTGATTTCCCAAGTCATTTTTCAAACGTGGATTTCGTATGCGTCGAGAACTCTTTATTAAAATATTGCATGACATGTGCAACAACAATCTATATTTCACGCAACCTACAGATTGTACGAATTGGATAGGTCTTTCA